CTACTCTTCTGAAAGCACCTCTTTAGGGAGGCTGGTCTGCACCCCTCTGGGATAGGAGTCCTATGTGGTTGCATCATAGTGCTTCCCACATTTCAATTCTTACTTGTTGCCAGTCTCCCTGCTTGGCTCTGCAAACCAGGAGGGAATGAGCAGCATCAGACAGGTCCACGGCTGCCCCACCCAGAGCTCAGAAGAGTGCTGGCCCGGAGTAGGTGCTCAGTAATGGTACCGGATGGAAAAAAAATAGAGGGAGCAAGACAGGAAGTCAGAGAGGGCAAGGGCACCTGTGTTCTCAGAAGTGGATTTAGCTGTTAATCTCTACTTCTCTTCACCTGCTCAAGGAGAAGTGTCATCTCTCTTAGGAGTCAGAATGTGCACCTCCAGGTCCTGACCCCTATTTAAAGAGAAAGGTCGGGGCACCTGGGTGGCTCAGTCAGTTAAGCATCCGACTCTTGGTTTCGGCTCAGGTCATGATCTCAGGGTCGTGAGATTGAGCCCAGCATCAGGCTCCATGCTCAGTGTGGAGTCTGCTTATCTCTCCCCCTACTCTCTCTCTCCCTCTCCTCTCTCTCTCAAATGAATAAATACAATCTTTAAAAAAATTTAAAAAAATAATGAGAAAGGTCAACATCACATTTGTCCTTCTTGGTCATGCCTTTTAGAGACTAAGATAATTCCTCCCATCACCTCCCTCCCCTGACATCTCTCAAAGCCGCTCCATCCGTCCAGGTGGGGGGTGCCTTCCTCCAAGCTGCCCCTGCTCACATTCGGGCTGGTCGAAAACACGGAGGGCAGAGCACAGCTGAGGCCAGCCCAACGACCAGCTCCTGTATCCTGTTGGAAGGCTGCCCCTGCTGGCGTAGTCCGCAAGTGGCCAAGGGTGCCTGGGAATTAAAGTCCCTCTGGGGATAGTTGGTGGCCACTATCTGATGGGTGTGTGGGGATGCATATTCCAGCTCCCCTGGGCTGGGGTAACTCTAATGTGTGTTTGTTTATGTCATTTCCTAGGGGCCCCCCCCACCCCCCAAGGGATCAAGCTCACAATTGCCCACCCTGGTAGCTGGCCTCCCTTACCTGGAGCACTCCTCATCCGGTATCCTGCACCTCCCAGGTAAACCACGTACCCTCAGACCTCATCTCTGGGTCTTGTGGTTGGCCCTTCTCAACGGTGCCCAGAAGACTAACTGGTGGCAAGACACCGGGGAGTTGGTCCTAGTAGGCACTGTGGGGCCCCTGCATGTGTGCCCTCCAGGAACTTCAAGGGCCCCAGACCTCTGTCCCCACTCATGAGGTCCAGGCATGCCTTGGGCATTCAGAAAACACCAGGCTCACACAGAGCTCTGGCTGGTCCCACAGAGCAGCCAGGGCTGGGGCTTGGGTCCCATAAATCAATGCCTTGTGACTCCATGAAAGGAATAGCTCATAATTTGTGAAGTTCAAAGACCATCATTTTCCGTTGATCTTCCCTCCTCCAGTACTGATTCCCCAAAATAACACCCTGGAGTTTTAGTGCTGAGCGGCTGGAAATGGTCTCCTGTCTGCACATACAGATAAATATGGGTGACCTTCCTCCATGACGGATTGGTGCTGATGGCGTATCCAGGTACACTGGAACATGAAAATGCTTGGTTTGTCGGGAGATGAATGTTCCTTCGCACAAACTGCCTGACTCTTTGCCTTACCTCCCCTAAACGGTATGCTGCAGGAATAATAAGAATAATAGGGGGCATTAACAATGCACTAGCTTCTCTTGAACCTTTGTTCTATTGTAAGTGCTGAGAGAAGCAGTGTCTCATTTAATGCTTGCATACAGTTCTCTAGGGCAGGTGCTATCATGCACCCACCCCATTTACAGACAAGGTGACTGAGGTTTCTAGAAGGTTCAGTAAGCTGCCCAAGGTCTCACCTGGGTAAAGAGCTGAGTGGAGCATCAAGCCAGCCCTGGACCACAGTGCGGTGCTCAGGACCAGCTTCATAATTGAGGGGGGGACCCCAGTGCAAAAGGAAAATGCAGGGACCCTTGTTCATTACTTATTAAGAATTTTAAGGTGGTGACAGCAGAGCCTAATACCAAACGTGGGGCCCTTTGGAATGTGGGACCCTGTGAGGCTGTGCAGGTCACACCCCACGACACTGGCCCTGATGACTTGACCTCAGAAGAAAGCAACGTGAGTGACAACAAGGCCCACACGTAACACTGTGCAACCTCAGAGACTGAGCAACAACACACGTTATACCAAGTGATTCGATGAGCTGGATGTTTGGTCAGAAGAGTGGTTTACTTTCCGTCAGAAGCTCCATCAGTTCTGCTGATAGAGCAAATACTTGCCCTCTGGCTGGGACTGAAAAGAGTCCATGGTGAAGAATGGGAGGGAAGGTGGCCAATGCCAATCCGTACACGGGAGCCCGCCCGTGCCTTGAGCCAGAGACGCAGACACAGATTCCGACTCAGCCACCAGCTGTGGGACTTTCGCCAAGTGTCCGGATCTCTTTGAGGTTCACTTTTCTCCTATGTATGATGGGGAGAGTGTATCCACCCCTCTGGGGAGGGAATGGTGGAGTGGAGGCAAGGACACTAGGTCATAAAGGTCTTGGCACACGGTAAGCACTCAACCCCATGCTGCCGTAGTTTGATGGCTGTTTTCACCATGAAGTTTGTGGGGCACTTGAAAGAGCACATGAACCCTGCCTGAACACTGCCCCTCATCTATTCTTTATGTGAGCGAGGCAAAGTCACGGAACTCTTTCCAGGCTCAGCATCCCCTTCCGTAAAATGGATCTGCTATAGCGTCTCCGACACGGAAGATTCCACCAACCATAAAGGAGCAGGGCATTATTTCTACAGCTGGTCAGGGTTCCTTGTTTTAACTTGTAAGTGGTTTAGGTTGGGGAGGGGGATTGGAAAGGGATCCCAGGCCCTGCTCCAGATTCCCACCACCCTCATCAAGGCTTCAGGGGCCATCATGCCTGAGATCCCTTAGAAGGCGCTGAGTGATCTAGGTGGTGTTTCCTCTAATAAAAGTTTTCCACAACATTTCCACACTCTTGACCCCAGATCTGACTGACTCTCTTTCAATTCCTGCTTTAAAACCAAACCCAGAGGGGGCCGAAAAAACAACAACAACAATGATTCAGGCCAAATTCTGCAGAGCTGAAAGAAGCCACACAGCCATCCCCATCTTTAGGTATTTTTATAGGATAGCACCAATCATAAATAGGAGTTGGAGGTGGTTCATGTTTTGCTGGAGATCTGTCCACCCTAACCGAATTACTTTGTGCTTTAAGAAATTCAGTGTACATAAAAGATTCCATTTTTCTTTGAAAATGTGACATGTATATATACATATAAAATTTGAAATTCTTTCTGAAACTTTAAGGAAGGGCACAGTGGGAGGAAAACTGGACATCGTCTAATCATATACACACATAATATACAAAGACATGCACATGCTCACAGCCGTCTCCGACGTAAGCATTGTCATTTACATTTAGAACACTTTCCTGGCCCCGCTCAAATTCCAGTCACTCACAGACAGGGCCCCAGCACCACAGATGGAAACTGGGAATCATTTTCCCGTTCTGCTCAAACTCCAGCCTCTTTAATAGCTTTCCCCATCAGTTCCCCTGACTCGTCCCGCACATCAGCTTGTTTAAGAAGGTATCTGTGAACATCAAACCCCAATTCCAGGGTCTCTCTCACCAGAAGCCCTCCTTCCATCAAAAGCAGCCTACGGGGTGGGGAGAGGTGCCACGGGAAAGGCTTGGCCGAAAGTGATCGGACCCACCTTCACGGGCTGCTCCCCATCTTTCTAGGCCGGTTGCTACTCTTCCATCTCCTGGGCTCCCCCAAATGCCCCCTAGCACCCACAGGCAGTCCCCACCCCTTTTTACAGAATGCCTTCAAATCTGGGAAAGGAAAGCTCGCCTCCTGCCCCTGGGGAGCTGATGAAGTGCAGGGAGACCCAGCTCCTTGAAGCTGGAAGGAGGTGTGGGCACCTTGCATACAATTACTCATGGGGTAGTCTAGGCAGGTTACCATGACAACGCTTGCAGAGCCTTATATATCTACATGTTATTGATATATCCCATCAAATCAGCAAAGGGGGAAAATAGAACTAGTCAAAGCAGTGCTCGGGCTTCCATCTCCCGTCTGGTCAGCTGAATGACTTATTTGTTTGGGCATAATCTAGACTCAGCGACAGTGAGACTCTCCCTATGGTGCTTCCTCACCCAAATGGATTTTAAAGCTTAAAATCAAAGTCCAGTCTCATAATAGGGATTTTTCGACCTTGCTCTTCACTTGCTCAAGCATCATACTCAGCCGTGACTTTTGCTGCCAGTCACAGAATGCTTTTATTGGTATCTCTTGCACCAAAAAAGGGAGCTCTAAATTTTACAACCTTCCCTGATAGAAAGGTTAAGTGTGGAAAAAAGATAAGAGGAGCTCTGTAGTACCATCACAGTAGGTGCATGTGTTTCCAGAGAGAAATAAAATGTCTTGCCTTTGGCCCTTTGACTGAAGACAAAAGGTTTCTCCATGCACCTTGTGTAAGGAAAGGGAAAAAATAAGTCCTACCTGGTTTTTTCCAAAATGGTTCTTATTAAAAGACAATGATGAAAGGAAGAAGCGAGGAGTTTGGTGGGGGGACCTTAATTTTCTTCAAAGCCCTGTCATACCACAAAGCTCAACCTTGGGCCCCCACAAGGGTGAGTTACGTATTTATACGATGTCTACCATCAGCTGTGCATGAGACTTAGATGTTGGTCATCCTTGAAAGATGGCTTTCAGAGATGAGGCGAGAGACTTCCATAACCTGCAACACCCCAGTCCTGTTCTGAGTTGCAGATTTGTAGCCCTTGCTTCTACCCAGGGAGATAACATGTCAGTGTTGATGCATACCAACAAGCTGAAGCAGCAACAAAACAGTCTCTAGAATCCCCAAAGATCGTAGCATGCCACTTTCCAAGCCATTATGCTAATGTAAACCAATTTAACATACCTGTTGGCGATCCTTCCATGACATGGCCAATGTAGGGGCCTTCTCGAAAGATGGGTCTGTTGTCATTCTGGTCAATCACAATGACTTCCAGAGGAACTGGCCCCTCGAGAGTTTTGCCATTGACATCAGTGGTCTCCACAAACAGCTATGGGAGCAAAGAAATCAGGGGAGAAAGAAGGCATTAATTCATTATGAAAATTAAAGTCAGGTTCTCTGGAGAAAGCAGGTTATATCTGCAATTTTATGAGCCCTTGGCAATATTCAAATTTCAGTCTCAAAGGATAGTCACTGGAACCAGAAAAGAAACTAAACATTATAAAATAAATGACAAATTTCAGTTCATGTTAGGTCCCCCTTGGGAAATTCACAATTAATTCATCAAATCTGCAAAGGAAGTCCAAAAAAGAAAGAGAAAACACTCGCAATCAGCCATAGCTAAGAAAATGTGCTTACATTGTTTGTTTTTTCTAACATCATTATGCTTAAAAGGAATGTTATGCTAATAAAAATAATTGACTAAGCAGTTATGAACAAAGCACATTAAGAAATAACCGAAAGTGTTTATGGTAATGTTTAGGAGAAATTCAGGTCAGGAAGAATTTATAGAGAGCCCTCCTGAGGCAAGGAAGGCGTTTGCAGGGGTCCGGAGTGCGACCCTGGGATTGCTGCCCACCAGGCCCATGTAATCAAGGCAGGATGTCACAATCCCATGTGACACATACAGAGCTACCTTCAGATCTCAAGGATGAAGAAAATAATATATATATATATATATAAAACAACAACAACACCCCAGCTATATTGTTTGTCTTGGAAACAAGGAATTATGTCATGGCATTTCCAATGAGACACAGCGGCCTTATGCTGTCCTTTTCCGTGCCTGATTCCACCTCGGTCTAACTCGGCAGCAACAGTAACACTTCTCGGCTTTGAGTTCTGGTCCCTGCATCATCCCTGAAACTGTAGCTCTTGGGGAACGGGCCCCTGCAGTTGGAATCCCAGCCCCTCTTTTCAGGAGCTAAGTGGCCTTGAGCCATTCACCTCCTCTCTCAGTTTTCTCACCTGTAAAATGAGGTTAATAAAAAACACCCATTATTAGGAATAATAATCAACATTACCCAGGGCTTACCAGGTGCTCTACTATGTAAACTCACTTGGTCTTCAGTCGGTAACCCCATGAATCATTTGCAAGGAAGGAATGAACGCAAATTAGAGGTTAAGTGGTAGAATCTGGATTTGACCTCATGAAGTCAGCCTCCAGAGTTCATAACTTTAGCCACTATGAACAATGTTCTTAAAGCACCAGCTCTCCTGCTCTCCCATGCTATGTTTCCAGAATACTAACTGCTCCTACGGTTGCTACCACTATGATCAGCCCTATTGTCAAAACAAGCCCAGATTAGGAAAGTGACAGAGAAACACTTTCATTTACGAATCAGCACGGTCGCACCCCACCTGGTGGTACCGCAAACTGGTATCATCCTTTTGGAAAGTAGCATGGGAAAATCCCACAAAAGCTATGAAGGACTCATACACTTTGTTCCGCTTGGATACCACTGTTTAGTCTGTTTGAGTCAGGTTGCACTACATCTATGAAAACATTCACTGACTGTTATTTCATTATTAGAATAATGACTCACCACTGCCATCTGCTAAATGCCCAGGGACGGGGGTGGGGGGCTGGTTGACCAAATGTTTGTTACAATGCCATAGAATACAGCCATTAGATAAAATCATTATTCCACCTTGTTGATCCACTTAGAAAATTGTGTGTAAACACAAAAAATTGCCTGTGACTCGTGTGTGTGTAATTTGTGCTTGTGCACAGAATTTGAAGGCAGTAAGCAAAAATGAAACCAGGTATGCTTGGCTAGAAGAATATCTTTTTCATTTTTCTCTTTCACACTACTTCATCCTTTCACCAGGAAAAAAAAGCAGAGCCTTTTAAGATCAGCACACAAAGGAGAACTCGCAGAGAGTGAAATTCTATACTTTTTCTGCTGTTTTTTAAATGCTATGAGAATTCGGGGCGCCTGGGTGGCTCAGTCGTTAAGCGCCTGCCTTCGGCTCAGGTCATGATTCCAGGGTCCTGGGATCGAGCCCCGCATCGGGCTCCCTGCTCGGTGGGAAGTCTGCTTCTCCCTCTCCCACTCCCCCTGCTTGTGTTCCCTCTCTAGCTGTCTCTCTCTCTGTCAAATAAATAAATAAAAATCTTAAAAAAAAAAAATAAATAAATGCTATGAGAATTCTGCTAAACAAAGGAAAGCAAACAAAACTTTGGGGCAATTTGGTGTCATAATGATGGTCTGGCCTTTTGTCCTCCCAAAATAGCCGAAGACTTGACTTTAACTCAACCAAAAAACCGGTGTCTAAAAACAACAAATATCTTGGATCTGAAACCTAAGCTTCCTGTGGGTTTGCAAACCGGCCCCACACACGCAGGGCAAGGGAGAGCGGGGAGAAGGAGGCAAACCGCTCCAGATGGGCAGGTGGTGGTGTTAACAAGCGAGGGAGATTACTCACGAGGCTTGTCTGAGGCAGCTGCAAGACGAGGAGGTCTCTGCACCTGCCCTCCGGAATCTTACAAGTTTATGTAGGGGCCTTGGCAGGGCTCAGTCAAGTGTACCATCCATTTGCCCCCAGCAAAACATTGCTGTCTCCAGGCTGTGTCCTTGACAATGGCTCCCACTGTGGGAAGGCTGGGCGGACCTTATATCCAAGGACAGGGGAGGGGTGAGAAGCCTCTCTGATTGCCTGAGTTCAGCTTTCGGGTCAACCGGGGGTCACGACCTCGGTCATGACCTCTCGATGACCTTCTCCAACACTTCCACACTGCGCAAATCTTGGGCAGTATCGGAAGCCGCAAGTAGGGTAGAGGAACAAAATCCCTAGAATTCCCGAATGTGCAAACTTTCGGAACTGAGAGGGGCAGACTCCAGGTCTATTTCAATATAATGGAAAAACAAACAGAAACTAAGGAGATATAATTGATTAGGATGAATGCAAAACGTTGAGCTGAATGTCATAAAACCAACTTTGTAAGAATACAACCTGATAGCAGTTTATGTTACAATACTACCCTGAGTTTGACTTCTGGATTTTTAGTGGAAAGCAATATCATCAGAAGCTAAGACCTTTGGAATAGCATTTAAAAAATAGCAAAGTGCTCCTGGGGCACCTGGCTGGCTCAATTGGCAGAGCATGTGACCCTTGATCTCGGGGCTATAAGTTCAAGCCCCACACTGGGTGTAGAGATTATTTAAAAATAAAATCTTAATACAAAAAAAGTGAAGTGCTCCTAAGGGGCATTTATTAATTTTAAAGTCAGTGTAACAAAAAATTTGCTAAGATATTACTACATGTGAGTCCCTACCCTGAGTGTCACATATCCAATCCAAGACATTCAAGCATGAAGAGACAGGTAATAAGCAATATAGAACGTATGAATAAAATAATTTCAGTTGGAGATCAGAGACATGCAGGGATAGAAGAGGTTCATATGTTAAAACTACACTGTCCAGTATGGAAGCCATGAGTCACATGTTTAATTTAAATTAATAATGATAAATAAAGTAAAAAACCCAATTCCTGCATTGTGCTAGCCACATTCAAGAGCTCATGAGCCACATGTAGCTACTGTACTGGACGATGCCCTTGGTGCTCTGGCTTCTCAGGCGTTTGGACCCGGACCGGAATCTCCACCATGAACTCTCCTGGTTCTCACCTCTTTGGACTTGGACTGAATTAGCAACCAGATTTCCTGGGTCTCCAGCCTGAAGACAGCAGATCGTGGGACTTCTCAGCCTCCATAACTGTATGAGTCAACTGCTTATAATAAATCCTCTTTGTGTGTGTGTGTGTATTTATTTCTCTGGAGAACACTGACCAATACAGGCTTCCAGGATGTCTTTTCAAATCTCTAATTAATTTATGTCACCCCATAATAGACACTTCTCAATGGTTTCTCATCTCTTTTAGGATAAATAGCACATTCTTTTACTTTGACAAGTCTTTTTATAATCTGGCTCCAGCCCACTTCTCCAAACCCATTTCATGTCATAAGAGATCCCCTTTGTTCCTTATGATCCAACTGCACCAATCTTTTTTCAGTCTTTCCAGCTTACCCCATTCCTTCCCAGTACATGTAATCCTCTTAGCAAGCATGGACTTCCTTCCTGCTGTCCTGGGTTAGCCCCTATTTAGCCTTCAGATCTCAGCTCCGATACCACTGGCCAAGAAGATCTTCCCCTACCCCTCCGGACTAACTAGGGCATCCCTAGTTTACACTCCCATGGTAGAGGTGCCCTTTCTTTATAACATTTTCCATAATATAGCTTATTTATTTGTAGGATAATTCAATTAACGTCTGCCTCTCTGACAGGTCCCATGAAGGCAGAGGTGTCATGAATATTCTTGACCGTTAGCAAATCCTCAAAGCTGAGACCTAATGCCTACACATAACAGCCACCTGCTTCAAGACTGATTGCATAAAGCTGACTTCACACTGATGAAGAGGCAGTACCTCTTTAAGAGACTGGAGTCCAAAGTTTGACCTCAGCTTTGTCCATCTGTCCTTTCTTTCCATCCCTGGCACATAAGAGCTGACAGTTGGTCCCAACTCCATGGCCTATAAGTCAGTTGACTGTGCTGTCTTAATTCGTGAATAAGAACCACAGTGGATTAACAATACCTAAGTACATTAAATTAATTACTTGCCTTTTAAAGAAGGGAACTAACGTTTATTTGGTGTCCAATACGTGTCTGGGCTTTTTATGTATTATCTCATTTGGCTCAAAACAACCTGAAGAAGAACCCACTGCAGCAAAACCCAGAGAAATTTAAGTACTGGTCTAGAAGCAAAAGCTAGTTTGTGATCCAGCTGGATCCAAACTTAGGTCTGACTCTAAAATTCGTGCTTTCTTCCCCTACGCCCTTGTTTGCCAAATGCTCTTTCATGGACTTCCCGTGCATTTTTGTTTTATTCTCTTTACTGTGTTATTTACTTAATAGTAAATAGCTTTACACTGATTGCTATGTTTCATTGTTGCCTCATCCGAGGCGAAATTACCCATGAATTTAGGCATATGATGAGCTTATTATAAATTTTTCCTAATATACATGAAAATACATATTAAAACACTATAG